CCTTGTTTTCTGTGCTGCTGGATTTTTTTTTTTCTAAATTTTAAAATTTTATTTAATTTCATTTATTTTTAACTTTTGAAATTTAATTTTATTAAATTTAATTTTATTTTAAAAGTATTTTAAATTTTTATTATTTATTTATTTTTTTATTATTAATTTTATTGATAACAAGGTCTTGCTCTGTATTTTTTGTAGAGACAGTAGGTTCTCAATATGTAGCTCAGGCTGGTCTTGAACTCCTGGCCTCAAGCGATCCTCCTGCCTCAGCCTTCCAAAGTGCTAAGATTGCAGGCATGAGCTACCAGGCCTGGCCAGTTTTTAAATTTTATATATATATATTTTATTTATTATTCATTCAATTATTAATTTTTGAGACAAAGTCTTGTTCTGTCACCTCGGGTAGAGTGCAGTGGTGTCATTGTAGCTCACAGCAGCCTCAAACTCCTAGGCTCAAGTGATCCTCCTGCCTCAGCCGCCAGAGTAACTGAGACTACAGGTGTGCACCACCATACCTGGCTTCATTTCTCTTTTCCTTTTTTAGCAGTGAAGAGGGACATGACATACTTTTTGTACTCCTATCTTTATGAAAAACAGGAAAACAAAAACTAGGAGGAGGGGTTGGTGTCTGCCTGGCTCCCCTGGTCCTCACACACCTGCCTGCGTGGTATGAAGGTGGGCCCAGCCTGACTAGGGTGGACGTACTTGGCCCTGACCAGGCCACAAGGGAGGGCCACTGGGGCGAGGTAGGTGAGGAGGAAGGGGCCTGTGAGAGGGACGGCCCCGTCCATTGGTCTGGGACTCTGCCAGGCCCGCAGCTCCCGAGCTGTTTGGGCGGGAGGGGGGGACAGGCACTGGCGCAGGAGCTGGCAGAGGCGTGCAGGGCAGGGGTATCGAGCTGAGGCCTGCAGGGAAGGCCTGGTGTGGGGCCAAGGGGACTGGGTGAGTGAGTTGGCCGTTGGGCCTCATGCCTTGTAGGTGGCAGCAGAGTCCTCAGGCAGGAATAAGGTCCTTTGGGGGAGAGGTCTGTGTCTGGACAGAGAGCTGAGGTTGTGTTCCTGGGTGGCCCCTGACCTGGGGAGTTAGGATGTCCTTGGTATAAGGACCCAGGGTGCAGAGGGAAAGGTGACTAGGCTGGGTGGGAGCTGCCAGGGTGCAGTCTGGAGTTCCTGCCGTTTACTCCCACTGGGACAGTGCCAAGTGCAGGTTGTCGTCACTTGTCCTGGGTGGCTCCAGGCTCCGCCTCGGGCCTCAGGTGCTGTCCCTGCCTCTTATCTCAAAGGCAAAAGGATGTAAGCACTTCCTTTTCCACTCTGTGCTTCCTCTCCCTGGCCTCCAGCATGCTGGGGCCCAACCTGGTATGCATGGCTCCACTTTACAGATGGGCGAAGCAAGGCCCATGGTGGTAATTTAGGCTGCTCCGGAGGTGGGCTCTGGGACTTCTGGGAAAGGCTGGACCAGTGTTTCCTCAGCGCTCTAGAACCCAGGGCCTGCTCTGCTCCCCTCACCCAGCCACGGCCTCATCCTGTGCCTATGGGAGGATAGGCCTTGTGTGGAAATGGATCATCCACCCGCTGCCCTGGGTGCAGGGAAGGCCCCTACTGAGTTGAAAACAAATACAAAGGAAAGAGGTTGATATGATCGTTTTGTGATTTATAATTGGCTACCTCTTAATGCAAACTTTTTTTTTTTTTTTTAGACAGTCTTGCTCTGTTGCCTAGGCTAGAGCACAGTGACCTCACATTCCTGGGCTCAAGTGATACTCTTGGCTCAGCTTCCCTAGAAGCTGGGACTACAGGCATCAGCAACCACACCCCGCTAATATTTCTATTTTTTGTAGAGATGAGATGTCACCTTTGCTCAGGCTGGTTTTGAACTTCTGGCCTCAGGCGATCCTCCCACCTCAACCTCCCAGAGTGCTAGGATTACAGGCATGGGCCACCACACTCGACCTCAAACTTTAAAAGAAAAAAAAAACCCAAAATCTCAATTTTTTTTTTTTTTTTTTTTGAGACAGAGTCTCACTTTGTTGCCCAGGCTAGAGTGCTGTGGTGTCAGCCTAGCTCACAGCAACCTCAAACTCCTGGGCTCAAGCAATCCTGCTGCCTCAGCCTCCCGAGTAGCTGGGACTACAGGCATGCGCCACCATGCCTGGCTAATTTTTTCTCTATATATTAGTTGGCCAATTAATTTCTTTCTATTTATAGTAGAGATGGGGTCTCGCTCTTGCTCAGGCTGGTTTCGACCTCCTGACCTTGAGCAATCCACCTGCCTCAGCCTCCCAGAGTGCTAGGATTACAGGCGGGAGCCACCGCGCCGGCCAAAGCTCAATTTTTAAAAACACAGCTATTTGGAAGTGAATGAGAAGCCAAATGAAGTTCCTTTGTGCTCTGGGGGTTCCTGGCC